AGCATTCCCAGTGCGTCGTTGTTCGTTCGGAGTCCCAGCCAAAAGTGCCTGCTGTTCTGCGATGTTGAAAGTCACTCAATCTCCCCCACTCTTAGGCGGACATGACGTCACAATTAAATCTTGAAGCGCGCCATTTTTATTCATTTTGTTGTTATTCCTTCGTTTTGTAGTAAATCGAAATCTCGTACTAATGACCGTTCCGACATATGTGCTTGTCACAAAAGATTTGTGTACAGTAGATAATGATTTACTATCATTAAAAGGTACGTGGGTGATTCTCCAAAAAAAAAAAAATTAATGGCGTCATTATCCTAAAGCCAAAGTTAACAATTCTGCTGATTAAAATACAAAGTTTAGTTTCAAAAAATTGAGCCGTGTCACTGCTTTCACCCAATCCAATAAAATACAGATGCTAATAAGTTACTGCGATTCTTAACAACGCGGGAGGATAATGATTTGTTCAATAAAAGTTAAAGTTTTTTGAAGAAACACCCACATACTAGCGTACATACTACATACTAGCTTCTTTAGAAGGTACATACTAGCGGCTCACCCAAGCCTCATTCAGGTGCTATTTCCCGATGACCTCCTGATGAACGAGTTGAATTTTTATCCGATTTGGTCGAGTAGTTCGGAAGTTATACGCTTACATACATATTAGTGATTCAATTTTATTTTATATCGATAGATAATAAAACATATTAGATTCGCAATCACAGTGTGTGATAAACAGTAGTAATATACTACGTACCTATAATGTCTTATGTGCTTAAATGCGACACTATGTAGGTACCTGACACTGACCAAAGGTCTACTGTGTTGATAATTATTGAATAATGGTCTGAATTCAATTAGTCATTAGTTTGTTTTATAAACTATGAAGTGTAAAGGTGAAACAACAAACGACACCATTGTTACATTTTTTAATGAAAATTATTGAATGTAGGTTGCGGTTTCTAACACTTAACACTATCGTCGATAAATAATGCGCAGTAATTAAGTACAGTTATAATATGGCACGAAATAAAAATCTGCTGCCTCGTTGGCGGAGTGGTCGCAAGTGCGACTGCCGGGCAAGGTCTCGGGTTCGATTCCCGGGTAGGGCAAAGATTTAGTGGGTTTTTTAAAAATCTCAGTAGTAGCACGGAGTCTGAAAATGTGCCCGGTATATGGCAATAGGCTCACCCCCTATTACATGGGACTTATAACTTAAATAGTGAAAAGTGGGTGTTACATTGTACAGTGGCATTAAGTGTCGAAATGTGCACCTCTGCCTACCCCTTCGGGGATAAAAAGGCGTGATGTTATGTTTGAAATAAAAATCCAATTGATCCAATCCAATGTTTGAAATGGTTTGTATAAAATCACTCGATGATAAGACAAGTTAAAGATAAATCATCTTATGACCGGATCTTTTACTACGAGGTACACCGTTAAAGTATGACATTGTTGAATGGATACCAAAGTTTCACCTGTACAATGAACAAAGGTCCTATCAGTGTGTTAGTACAGAATATTGAAATCCACATGTCCTAATCTGCTCATTGGCTGTTATCTAATCTGTTATGCATCATCATAACAGATGTTTGTATCGGACAAAAATAATGTTATACGACTCCTTTAAACCAGGTTTTTTGGCGTCCATTGTAAGCATAATATGGATAATCGAAAACCATGACGTCATTACTATCGTTGCCCCAACGAATGTGCGTAGAAGAGATAATATCAGATTTTATACAACTTTATCAAAAATGCAGATATATTTAGTTTTCTTGTTTTGTTCTTAGGATATGTTTAATCTGGTGTCTGATTTTATCTGTGTAATCATATGACATTTTCCAATTCAAGCATTTATTTAGGTTTTAGATGGAGGCTCTCAAAGTTTTAGAACATTTTCTTAAATTATGCTATAAAAATAGGTTTCTTTGTTACGATTTAGATTAGCATGTCTTCATGGTCCTAGGGTTCGTAATGAACAAATCCATATTTAAATTAAATCTTGCGGTTATTTATAAAAATTGATAGAATTTATTAATGTAAGAACAATGAACGTATTATACTTAAATAATTTGACAAAGGTATATGACTGTGTATAATGTAATTGCAAAACCCACGTGAGACGAATCTGCCACGGTGTAACGCTTACTCTTATCGAAGGAACCCAAGGCCTTATACTGGTTCCATATCTGCAACTGCAAACTGCTTATAATTCGTTTTACTTATAATATATAGTTTTAGTATTTTGAAGCATTTGCTAACTTTAAAACTAAGTTTAACCTAATCACCTGAAGTAGAATTTTTATTAGCTGCTCTTTACAACAGGGATGATGACGAAGCAAGAAAATTAAAAATATATTTAGGCCGCCAGTTAGACAATGAAAAAATATTAGACACGTATTTTTTATTTCGTCGTATAATAAAACAATACTTAGATAAAACAAATCAAAGTTTAGGAGTGGATAAAACGTCATTTCTACTTATAAAACGTACATAGAAGTGACGTCATGCGATACTTCAAATTAATATACCGTCGAAAGTTTTTTTTTTCTGTGAGAAAATAGAAAATACGTGTCTAATGTTTTAAAATAATCTACCAGACGGGCATTAAAATAAAAGTTATCATCTTCTTAATTTTAGATCACTCCAGATTTTCTTTTTCATGTCTCTTGAGTTGGGACCATACTTGTAAGTCAACATTGTCTTGTTATGAATAAGAGCATCTACAAAATAACCCTGTAATAAGTAACATGAGGTCACCATCTTGTTTATGAAAAAAGTGTAACGTCTTAGCGAGAGTTAAATATTTGCGCAATAGATTAAAATTAAGGTAAAATGCGTTAGAAGTGCTTGTGTACTTAAAATGTACCTAGAACTATGTAAGGATGTATCTTAATGCAAATAATATAAGTCGACGACGTGACACAGTCACAGGTATGCAAAATGACTAGATATCACACGTTACCATTTAGAAATGAAACCGGTATTTCTAGTGTTAAATAATCTATTTTGATGTCCTCGAATTCGGATTTTCGAATAATTGTGTACATTTTAGCTGATATTTAATGTCTGTTCAAATGCGATGACTATATAAAATCTTGATCTTAACATTTTGCAGCGTCATTAATGTTTGAGTATTTATTTTGGTCCTTTGGCTCTTAACTCGCTCGTAAGCGGTTCATAAGGGGTCAAAAACAAGTTTCTTCCTTTGAATACTTTCGTACCTTCGGTTTGTAATGGCCATACCATTTGTTATTCTTATGCAAAACCTTAGGTGGCATGAGGTCATGCAAATACCTTTCATTCTTAGTTCATACGTTTTACTTATATTGGATGTATTTTCATAGACAATGTCTGCTTACAAAATACTAATTAAACTTTTATTTTGTTGATAAAATAAATGGGAATCGTATTTCATGGTTAGCTATAAAATTCATAAATGGCAATTTTGACTTGAATAGGTAACACCGATAGCGACGTTGGCTTGCGACGCAGTGGCATAAGTTTGAATGCTGGTTAGTTAGGACTATTTGACTGCACATTGACTGATCATTAACAGCGAAGCAAATAACATTATTCGTTAATTTGACTTGATATGTATATTTTTAAAGCTAAGCCAAGATTTGATAGTTTTCTTTATTGTGCGATTTGGTAGACTTAATATTTTTCCTTTTATTTTGAAAAAAAAAAGCGTTGCCCTACACTAGGATGTTTCCTGTGTCGTGGCCCACGACGTTGGCGTTGCTTTTAATACAAGTTCACATACACATGACACACAGACACGGCACAACATTTTGTAGATCACACAAAGAGTTGTTCCGTGCGGGATTCGAATTCGGAATTCGGTTGCCCATTCACCGCACCAACAATGCCGTCTAAGAATTAGATACATTCATAAAATTACAAGAACAAGACGTATAGCAGTAGGCCTTCCGACATGGTCTAAAAGCTACATTGGCTTACAGTCAGTAAAGGTACAACCGTATAATAAATCTTCGTTTACCTCATCAGAGAAAACGACTTGATTTTATCTTTTCTCATGAATATGATGTCGTTGAACCATTGAACTTTTACTTTTTCCTGTAATCGTTATACTGCGTTCTGTATTAGGGAAAATACTATGAGTGTTTCCTGCCAATAGTCCTATTCGGTTCACCTGAATATTTTGAACTTCGGCTACAAATATAAGCCACTTAATATGTACTAAGGTTTCCTATGAATCCACTAAAGTGTGCGTTCTACTAACCCACTAAGTTTTAACAATTTTTATAGTATTGACCGTAGATTAAATTCAACATCATCAGATATTGATTGAAGTGTATTTTTTTCCATGCCATCTGTTGCAATTCTCATAGACATCGGTATTTATCAAATATTTATTGAATTGAATACTAACTTCTGTCGAGTTACCAAGGTTAGAAATCAATTGCACTCGGATCCGTTGAGTCGTTTTTGAGTGAAAGAGAAACAAACGTACATGCCTACATCCTCACAAACTTTAACATTAATTTTATCCTGCAGCACCTACAATTTATGATGAGTTTGTCTAATTTAACTTCACGCATCATTGCGATTTTGGTCTCCGTAAATCCACGCAGTTTAAATTACGTTTACAATCCTTCAAACATTAAGGCCTTATTCTTAGGTACACTAGTAAAAATGGCTTAAATAGTTGTTTTATGTGAACCCATAGTTATAGAGATAACATTATATTTTTCTGTCATTGTCTGATATGAAAATTACTACGGTTGTAAACTATCATCTTCATACAACGTAATTATGGGAGATAAATTGTGTGGCCGTAATTACTACAACATTTTATGGGGTTTCTTTGAGATTAAAGGAAAAACCCAAAACATTGTTTGAGGAAAACTATACATTCGTTGATTTTACTATACCTTGATGCGTTGTTTGTAAAATGTTTGCTATGAAATAAAATGTCTTTATAAATATATGCTTTCCCTCTTTATAATTGCTCAAATAAAATTTATCTTTTGTTTCAGTGAACCGTACATTCCTCAGAACCTGACTGGTATAACGATGGGAATAGTGAAGGGCGAAACAGCACCTATGGATGTTGTTCGAATCGAAACAAAGTCCAGTGTAAGTATACATGAGAGTTGCAGTTTATATAATGTGCTACAGAACACGGCCACCGTGGGGTGTGTTACGTTACAATACTGAATTGACTACGTCCGTCACAACAAACAACAGGTCGCCTCACGGATACAATTAGCCCCACGTTAATACGACACTGTTGATATTTACGCTTGTTATTATCTTATAAGTCAACCCAAACGCCAACCAATTGTGAGGTCCAGCCGGCCTTTAACCGACAATAACAAGTTCTCTCGACCATAATATGACGTCAACAGATCCGCTTGTGTTTATTTTTAATGTTTGATTTAATGAGTGTTCTTTTTTTCGCAGATTATGTTTTCGTTTCTTTCCGTTGGCTGGGGCCTCCTATCAGACATTGATATCGAAAGCGAAAGATTACGAGCGATCGGTGGCCAAAGGTTCGCCGTCTGGGCACTAGCCAGACTCGTCGGACTGAGAAAATACAAAGGTGTAGTGAGTTACGCGAAAATTAAGGATGTGAGCAATCTACCAAAACCAAAACAACCGCTCACCCTCAGTCATAGTATCAGTCAGGACGGTGCGCTCGACTCCCCTGATGCGGAAGCGTTCATTGATGCGGATGAACATTCCGAAGTGTTCGTGAACGCTATTAGCGGGAAACAACATCAGAGGGTGGATTCGTGGTACTCGGTAAACTCACGGAGGAGCGCGTTCTACAGTACCCGCGGGTCGGAGTACCACAGCGTGACAAGTAGCGGCTCGGAGATGCGGTCGCCGGTGCACGCGTGCATGCACGGGCCTGCATCTCACCTGCCCTCACTCATGTCGCAGCTACCCGCGCACTGGGTGCACGAGCACGGAGAGTTCGTCATGGTGCACGTGTCCTATCAACCTTACATTGGTGAAGACTTTTTATTTGCTCCGCGATCGCAGCTGTCTGATGGAGTCATGTGGATGTTAATCATCAAAGCAGGGATTTCTCGATCTCAACTACTCTCGTTCCTGATGGGCGTGGGCCAAGGCACGCATGCCGATATGAACAATGAATACATTAAGATGGTTCCTGTCAGTGCGTTTAGAATAATTCCGGAGGGTACCACCGGCAACATCACCGTCGACGGTGAAATTGTCGAATACGGACCCATACAGGCTGAAATATTTCCAAACATAATTAATTTATTAGTGCCAGAAATGAAATAACGCCGCGTAAATAAGTAAAAGGTATTCTTAAAATGACTGATATAATTATTTGAACCATAACCGAGCCGATGCATGTGCAATATATGGGAACATCACGATTCCGAGCAAAGGTGTAAATTAATGGTTGTGTGAGAGATATCTTATTATATTGTTAAATACTTACCAAAAGTTATTGATTGCGGTGGCAATTGAGTTGATCATTCCATGAATGTTGTGATTTATGTTAAACATTTTTTTTGTTATGGATTGGTTCAAAAACTGAAAATGTGATATAATTTTGTAAGTGAATTAAGAGCCTAAATATGAGCAAATAGCTGCTAGTCCAGGCTTACACTTCTACAATGAATTAGTGCCAAATGTTAGCACTCTAAATACATCATTTTAAATTGTAATGAGGAATTGATCATTCACAGTACTTGCTCAATTGTAGAGCAATTGTTTGCACTTTTATTCCTACTTAGGATATTTATTGTTTCAGCAATCGTGTTACTTATAACTATTTTAAATGTAAAAATGTATTAAGTAATAGTATGTAGCTCAAAGCAAACTATATTAATTATGTAATACTTTATAATAGCATTTTAATGATAAAGAGAACATAATTTACGCTCTCTTGGTAACATTTAGAATATTTTAGAAAATCTTACTTTTATGTTAAAGTAATTTTTCAAATCAACTTACTGAAGCTGTTGCATGCTTTGTATAATAGTTATCATAAGAGTTCAAAATGAATCAGATAATTAGTAAATACAAATATAACTTGCCATACTTATGAAGTTGAAGTTATAACTTGCCTTTTGGTGTTATGGACATAGGGATGGGGAGCAACTCTTTTATATAATTTAGTTTATTTATTAACGTTAAACTGGTTTGGGACTGCTGGTATAACTTAATGTAATTTATTTAGCAGTATTAATTAATTATTATTATAGCAATTATGTTTTCTGTGATAATAACTATTCTGCCATATTTCATAAACATTGATTACATGAGAACTGTCTAACAAAACCCCATAGAATGAAAAGAAAGATTAAACTTTGTGATAATTCCAGTTTTTTATACTTTGAAATATATTATGTCCATTTTTAAATATAAAGATGTAATGTACAAAAGTAAGTGCTGCTGTTGTCTATAGAGTTAGAGTATTACAGAAGTAAGGTTCCGTGTACATATCTAGTAGCATTGTTTCAGTGGTATTGTCTATGACTAGTTCTTCTCTGCACAAGACAATTATTTTATGTATCAACTTATAGTGTTCATTTGCACATTAAAATAAAATATTACTTAATATTATAGTTGTTTGTTACCGGACAAATTTTGTGCATTCCGTAATTTTAGGTGTCTTTGGGCTTTTTAATACTTATTCAAGTGTAAGAATTTTAGATTTAAATACAGTAGCATATTAGCAAATTTTTAAAGAGTAATGTTGTGAATAAAAGTTATATAATTTTCAATTTTATGAAACTGTTGTCAATAAATGATCATTTCAAAGCTGTTGGAGTTTTATATGAATAAAAAAATATGGAAATAGTAATAACTCTTTATTATAATCTTCATCTGATCAATTACTAAAGTATACTTATTACTAATATGACTTGTTTGTTAGTCATTACAAAAGAAAATAGGTAATTATAATGAAAACCAACACACATTACAAAATCATAGCTTTGTGATTACAATTAACTTATATGGCAATTTTACATACATAGACTATAAATAATGAAATATAACAAATTGCCAAAAAATAAGTTTTAAATTTCAACATTATTATTTATCTTAATTAATTATTATGTTTTCGGTTTACACACATAACTGTTTGATGAGGAACTCGGCTAGTTTCAAGCCAAGCTAGAACCAAAAACATAATAATTAATTTAGTATGTCTCACAAAAGTTATAATATAAACATAATTTATCTTATCAATAAAATAGTTTAGAATATCTAAACATTTCATTGAGCTCTCTTAATCTTAGACAGTTATATTCAAAAACAGTCTTCATAAACATCTGTAAAATTTTAAACAATTATCTCAATTTGAGAGAATCTAAACTGTCCAAAAGGTTTTGTACTTCAGAATCTACTTGTTCACGAGTACTGACACGCTCTAGCCTTTGGCAGACAGATTCCAAATCGCTAGCATCAGCTTTCTGCATCTTCATATACTTTAGCATCATTTCAACAACTAAACATATTTCTCCAATCAGGTGTTTCGTCTCCTCAAAGTTTCCAGCCCCACTAGGACGCATTTGTATTAATTTCAGTTTGCTCTGGGCTAATTGTATAGGATTGTGTCCATTCTTGTCGTGCAAACTGACATCTGTGCCAGCATCAAGAAGTTCGATCACAACAGGAATGTGATTGGTGCAAGCTGCAAGGTGAAGGGGTGTATTGCCCAATGTATCTTTAATATTGGGGTTAGCACCATGTCTTAACAAGATTTTAATGACGTCGACATAACCACGACAGGCAGCTAAATGCAATGGACTTCTTTTGTGTTCATCTGAAGAATTTGGGTCAGCTCCTGATAACAGAAGTTTCTCCACAAGTTCTGTATTATTAGTAGAAGCGGCGAAACGTAATTTATGATTTTTGGACGAACATTTTGCACCACTGTACCTGTATTTCAGTCTGTATTGTCTGGCTTTAGTAGAACACTTAATTTTTCCCACATGTTCGTGTGGTTCTGTCAAAAAGTCTATTGGCATCGGCTGGCCAGCTTGATTTATGGGTATAGCTGGTGGGCTGAATTCTAAAATGCACTGGGAGTGGTCAAATATTGGATTATCGCTGCTCTCATTACTGGTATCTACCCCAGAGTCGGCCATGGTATACCAATATCTATTCACCACAAAGTAAAAACAATGATCTCGACAATTTAAAACTTTCTATGTCAACTTCTTTTCCACAATTAATAAAACTTGCACTTTATAGGAAATAATTAATTAAGCGTAAAACAAAGTAGAAGAAAGTTGTAATCGACTTGTTTATACTAGGCGAGGAGCTGTCATATTTTTTATTTCTGTTTCCTTTCTTTCTTTCTTTCGCAAAGTTTCACCTGATAGTTTTTTGGTATTGTAACATCGATCACATGCAACTTTTTTAATTGTAAGATTGTCTCACGTGAACATAAATGAAAATGAAGAAATCATTGTATTAAATTGTATAATTCATAACTTTAATTCTCATCTCAATCTGTGAAACAAATAAACTACCAAAGAGTATAATAAGTATAGGGGATTAAACTACTCAATGACTAGAGTACTCCACCTGAGTGCAATGTGCATCAAAGTCCAAAGTCCAAAATAATAATCATAGACAATTGAAATACTAATGTGAAAAGGGGTTCACAGCACTAAGATGATATTTATTTTTATTTTAGGGGTTTTAATAGGGGGGGGGGGGGAAAACATCAAATGACTACACCCCCCTTTTTTTTTTTTTTTGAGGGGGGAAAATCATCCAATGACTTCTCCCGCCCGGGTGAGGCGGGAGGGAGTGTCAGACTCTTACTGACTAAAAACCACCCCGTTCCTACTCCTGCACTTCGAGCCGGAGCCCCGGCAACCCGTTAAGTCTTCCGCGGCTCCGTATCGGCATCAGCCCTGTTAGGCCCCATCTGTGGTGGTCTGATGGCTCCTTGAGGCGCGCGCGGAACGCGACGCGCCGTACGCTCGGGCCTGGTTCTGGTCGGGCGGCGAGTCACCCGTGCTCGCCGTCCGCAGGCCCGTGCTTACGGTGGCCGGAGATCGTCTCGCGATCCCCGACGCCCGATGACTACTCCCGCCTGGGTGAGGCGGGAGGAGTCATTCGATGATGATGATGATGATGATGTCTCTTACTGACTAAAAACCGCCCCGTTCCTTCTCCTGCACGTCGAGCCGGAGCCCCGGTTACCCGTTAGGTTCTCCGCGACTTAATTTAGGGGTAGTTACTAAAAAATTAATATAATCATACTTCTATTTTATGTTTGGTGATTACAGTTAGATAACATATTGTTGAATTGAGAGATTGAGAGACAAAATAAATAGTACTCACTGGTGATAATGTTGCAAAACATTAACGCCAGTGAGAACGCACCCATACATACAGCTCGAATGAAAAAATAAAAACTCATTCATTGACTGTGGACGAACGGGAGCTTCAATGACAGGTGGCGAATTGACAGCGTATTCGGCCTCGGGAGAAATTTCGAACGTTATTTTTACCAACAATACTGCGTAAATTAGAGATAAAACATGCAACAATTAACAGTATTCATGGTAAGTTAATGATGCCGATGTTGTGGTTTAAACTTATGATTGATCATTTATTATGTGTTTAACCTAAAACATTTTGCCGATAGGATATTGAAAGTTCACGTTCGTATATCGACGAGCTGTACTCATCAGATACGCCAAAGGTTGTAGAAGCCTTAGTGACGCTAAAGAATTCAGTAATAGGCAGCAACCGACAGAAGAGTTCAGTGATACAGCAAGGAGTAGTGCCGCGTCTTCTTCAGTTAATGTCTGATGAAACATTGGACCCTAACATAAGACTTGAAGCTACTATCACAATTGGTAAGCTTTTAAATTATTAATTTAATTTTTTTATGCTATAATGATCACTCACGTTATAAATACTTTCATGCCGAGGTCCAAACTTAATGAAATTCAAGTCCTATAAGATTTATGATACTGACAAATAGTTGACCTAAAAAATTACATCGTCACATTGTTTACATGTTTTTTGTTACTATTTTTCAAGAATAGGGAAACAAGATGACACACCCAATGTCACCTAAGTCCGATATCCATAACTAAAATTCTATGTTTTATTCACACAGGTTCCCTCGCCAAAGGTACAGAAGAAAATGTAAGATCTTTAGTAGAACAAGGCACAGCGACAGCACTAGTGGACCTCTTAAGGAATGCCCCTGTTGGTACAAAGTTGGCAGAAGCTGGACTGTGTGCCCTAAGGAGTGTGTTCCTGCATCCACCGGCACCAATATCGGCTTTACCTGCAGATATGAGGCTATTGAGCAGACTTACGCGTAAGTGAGAAACTTGATTTATATAAATGCAAAATTTGTATGTTCGTTTTTTATTCCTTCACATAGAAATGGGTGAAGAGATCGAAATGAAATTTGGAACAGGGGTGATTATGGTCTAAAATAACACTTTTTATTCAAAAAGAATGCGGCTAATGCTGCTGGCAGCACCTAGTATTTACATATTTTGTAGGCATACAATATTATTTATCTGAAAGCAATGTCTTTTATTTTTATGAGTGTAACTAAAACTGATAGATGTTTGCATATTCAGATACTAGCTAAGTCCGCGACTTTGTCCGTGTGGAATAGTGATCCACTGCTCCTCCCCGTAGTTGATAGCATGATAATATGTAGCCTATATATTGATACGACCTGTTAGTAATATTCATGCAAAATTTGAAGCCCATGCAGCACTTTTTGAGTTCATCTCGAACATACATAAAAAGACAAACAGACAAAAAATCTAAAAACCATATTTTTGATTTTGGTATCAACTGTAGATCATAGCCAAAGCATTCTTTTAAAAAAAAATTCCATGTACAGTTTTCACTTTCCTACGGTTTTATTATAATTTACAGATTTGAAATGTGATTTAACTCTTTGAGTACCATCATTATAGACACATATAGACACAATTAAAGAACAATAGGTTGCGGTCACCGGTGTCCTCGCGGTGTTTGACAGTTTAAGAATAATTGTTTTGGTATAACATCATAATAACACTTGAATTGAGACTTTACATACATAAAGTATTTCTGCTTAGTAATGCAATAGTAATGCAAGCTAAAGAGTTCTAAACCAATATTATCTTCCTGCATTCTTGAGTACTATTAACAGTGAGTAGGTACTTATCCATTCAAATAATAGTTTAATAATGAAATTGTTTAAGAAACATTTCAATTTAAATGGTCTCTTAAATGGGACCTCTTTGTTTTCGTCTCTTTTCTACACCTTCTTAATGATTCATTGATAAATGTGTTGTTAAGCACGAATCTCGAAAACAGCTGAACCGATTTCGCAAACCCTTAGTTTTTAGGTCTATTGTAGTTAGGAGAAGATCTTATGTAAAAAAGTTCGCCGCGTCCACTAATAATATTAAAATACTCAAAATAATAATTCAAGCAATTATTCATCCAGTCCATCAGCTTTGCAATTAAAGATAATAGTAGTTGCAGATGTTGCAATATTATGATCTCACTTCGCTGAAGGTTGTTTCGTAAACGGTGAATGTTTTCTATGCCACAAGGTCACAAATATAATGTTCTTACATTTCTCAATTATACCGCACATCATATTACATGTAAGATTGCAAGACAACTAGATAGGCTGTATGTGGTAGTAGTTGATCAAAGATTTATATTAATTACATAATGTCAGGAGAAGCGAGGTGAATACATAGTTTTTTGTTGACCCCACACTGGTTAGAGATACTGCGGAGAACCTAACAGGTTACCGGGGCTCCGGCTCGACGTGCAGGAGAAGGAACGGGGTGGTTTTTAGTCAGTAAGAGTCTGACACTCCCGCCGCCTCACCCAGGCGGGAGCAGTCATTCGATGATTCTCACCCCTTAAAAAAAATGGGGTATTAGACTATTGGGTATTACAGTACCTAATACAGTATTAATTAACTGATCAACCCACTAGTGGTCACCTGTTACTGCTCTTCCCTAACTTTATTATAGACCTTATTTCCGATGTTTAGAGACTACTTTTGTATGAACAAAGTTAGGGATTTATGTCAGGTAATTGTGTTAGAGTTAAAGATACTAAATAGAAATTATCCTTTGCTAAATTTTGGCATACTCTTATACCTCATCGGGAAAGGTTGTGACCATTGTATGGACTTGGATTGATGGATGGATACATGGATTCTTAGTGACTAATGCCAATAATGTTTGAGAAACTAAAATAAAAGACAAGTCTAATAAATAAAAGCATCAATTCATCATTGGCCACTAAAGTGTTGTGCAGTCTCAACTTAGCATATTGACAGATTTTTCTATTGACTTCCTAGTTTACTTTTGCTGACAATCTAGAATCTATGCCGAGCAATTCCAATGTAAACATTTATCTCAGTAAAAATGTTCGATTATGCAATAATTTCAAATGGTGCTGTTCAACTGTCTAACAGTCTCGTATTACTTTCTACTAGTGCAGTGGAAAATAAACTCTAAACTCTACTCATAAAGTTTAGTTTTAATAAATTATGACATTTTAGAAATCTTTGTATATTTTCATATAAAAACTTGATTGAAAAATTGAAGATTATGTTAAGTATGTTCAATGTCATGGTATTGTTTACTCTTTGTTTATGCAATAAGCGTTAAATTATACACGTATGTAATAATACATACATACATAACTTCACGCCTGTCTCCCATGGGGTAGACAGAGACTATGAAATGCCAATTACTATGATTCCTACATACCTCTTTCGCTTCTTGATGTAATAATGTTATTACCATACTAGCTAATACTACTTATTTATGTCTTACCAATATTGTAACTATTAAAACCAAAAATCGTAATATTAGAGAACCTGAAATAAAACTGAATAATATAAATTTTAATAATCTTATTTTCTATAATTTTATTATCTCATTTATTCTCAAATATTTACACTATACAAACATATATTCCCAATTCCAAGTACCAGACTGGACTCCAGACTCTTGCTAGTATTGAGCATTTTCAAAAACGAATGATAGATTGCAAGCCCATACTCATAATCAGAGACCTTACTTATCAGTCATAAATTAACAATGTTCAACAGAAATAGCACGGGAGGGATCACCAACGGCTAGAGCGTGTGTGGTGAGGATCCTCTCGATCTGGTGCACGGGCGCAGGAGAGCAGGAGGCGCTGTGTGCTGCGGGGGCTTGTGAAGCTGCTGCAGCATTGCTCGCCGCCACTCCACCTGCCGCGCCAGCTCTTCCAGCTCTCGACCTTCTAGCTGCTATGTGCTTTGAAAATACTAGTGTGTCGCAGATTGCTTTGAATACTAGGTAAGAATATTTTTGTCTTAATCTTAATACATTTTAAGGATGGAATAAATAACCAAGATCCAAATTTAAAACCTCTGAATTGATGGAGGTTTTGACGGAAATAGAAGTGATGAAATCTATCTATCACAGATATATATGTGTAACTTAGGTATATATGATTTAGTTTCAATCGCACTAAAATTTTACTAAGCTAATTTTATATTACAGTTAGGATGTAATATCATAATCCAATTAAGAAAACACGTCATACTTTAGGACCAATATAAAGATATTAGATAATGTGATGAATAGACTAATTTGTACAAAACTTACCTTTGAACTTTCCGAGTAGAACCACCATCACTGCTCTTCCCGCGAGTATACATACCAACCAAGGGACAAACAGACACACTAGCAATCTTCGATAATCCTATCGCAATTCCCTCTTACGTAGAGGAAGCCCATGTTCGTACACACTGAAGTTCAAATAACTTTAAAACAATGTGTACATAAGTAGTTTAAGTGTGGGAGAATCATGCTTCGGCACGAATGGGTCGGCTCGACCGGAGTGATACCACTGCCTCACAGAAAACCGGCGTGAAACAACGCTTACGATGTGTTTCGTCGTGTGAGTGAGGTTACCGGAGGCCCAATTACCCCCTTACCCTTCCCCAATCTCTCCAAACCCTGAATCCCCAATGATCCCGGAACTCCTAATCCCCAAAAGGTCGGTAACGCCTCTGGTGTTTCAGGTGATCCGTCGGCTCTATAACCGGCTTATCCCATAAAAATAACTTATATTTTTTAAAAGTTAACAATTATACTATAACCAAGCCAAGTTATCAAGAAGTTAATATATTTAGTTTTTTATACAGTAATATTTAAAGGTGTGGCCTTGGCCTTGAAAGTTATGAGTTTTGAGTTGAACTTGATTGACTTCTACTAGTGTTAACAACGCCTAAAGGTACTTTGTATTATTATGGTATTTAGTTCTTTTATCTCACTCTCTCTCATAGGTGTGAAAGAGAAAAGAGCTACGTATTGATTTATGTTACTTATTAGAGTTATGGTGATGATGTAACTGCATATTATGTCACGATTTTTTTGTTTTAGGAGATGGCACTATGGCTCTCATATATTTTTTAATTGTTGCTATGCTATATTATTATTTTTTAACTAACAACATAATCTTTTTTTCCCGAAAAGGTAGGCAGAGGTGCACATTACGGTACTTAATGTCACTGTACAATGTAACACTATTACCCACTATTCACTATAGAGCTAGAGCCTATTGCCATATACCGGGCACAATTCCAGACTCAGACTACGAGCTACTACTGACATATATTTTAAATCCAGTAATACTTTACCCGAACCCGAGACCTCTTGCCCGGCAGTCGCACTCGCTACCACTCGACCAACGAGGCATTATTTACTAAATAAAATAGTATTTATGTTTGTTACAATAATTTGTCTTAAAATGTCGTGAAATATATTTACCTGAAATTAGTTTATATTTATCTCGAGACATTATTTAGTTAGAGTACCTATTTATTTCTGCAGTAATTTATTATTGCTCCACAGAACATTGCGTCGAAGTTGTTAATCTATTAATGTTTATAATTAATAGCTTTCGCTATTTGCAACAACTTGATAACTCTAGTTACCAAGTCGAATAATAACATACGGTTTATAAGTATCTACTATCGGTACTTATAAAGTACCTGACATGAAGCGTTTACTTGAATTTCAATATGATAATTTAGTAGTCAAATAATAAATTGTACTTCTGTCTATTGACTTCAGAAGTTATTAACTCTTTAATGCACACAAAAATAAGGTACATAAGGCAGACTTAATGTCATATGGCATTTTATTCCAATCAACCTTTGAGTTAAGTAGAGAATCAGCGAAAATAGGCTTACGTAATATGCAGAAAAATAAAACAAAATAAATAACTATTAGTAATTATAAAGACTATAACATATTTAAAATATATATAGCTAACTATATAATAAGTATGAAATATGTACATAAATAACTACATATATATAATTATAATATAATTGTAATACAGTTTACCGTTTCTTCTTACAGTAGATAAATAGGAAATGTCGGCTTCATCTACATAATATTGTCGTATAAAACTTCTGTTTAGTTAGCCTAGTTATAAAATATATTTTATCATAATAACATCACGCCTTTCTTCCCCAAAGGGGTAGGCAGAGGTGCACATTACGGCACTTAATGCCACTGAACAATGTAACATCCACTTTTCACTATTACATATACATGGGAGGATATATATATGGGACTCATAACATAAT